TTTCATGACCTTGGCATTTGATTTACTTGCAGGCTTCAATAGAAATAATGCGTATCGATAAACTTAATTCCTTGAATTTCATAGTTTTATGGTATTTTGGATAACAAAACCTATTGAAAATTGTCATAAACATATGATATTTGTGACTCAAACAACTAATCTAGACTGTAAATTATTGTCGAATTTTCAAAGTATTTAACGACTTTTAAACTAATACACCAGATGCTTAGATTTGAAATGTCAGCCCCAGAGACTATTTCACTGATACTTTTAAAATGCCAAAGTGCCACACTCCTTATTGGATAATGCCCATCTACTAAATTAAAATGGGGTTTTTCCCCCCAAGATAAGATACCTTTACGTTGTGTTATTAACATAAGCCTTCATTAAGAAATGATATTAAATTTATGATATTATAATTTAATTTCAAATAGGCCTATAACATTTTTTCAATAAACACATTCAAGATTATTGATTCATCTTTTTACAAATCATCATAAATAGTCTGTACATTCATGCCCTTGTTAAACGCCCACATTGAAATGTGGTCGTATATTGTCGTCGCTCTAGAGGCTAAAGTTAATATCTGATTGACTTTAGATTTATACACAGTGTTTAAGGTCATGAGACAAAGAAGCCTATTGATTTTCAACAATTTCCAATAATTACTGCCAGAGTTATGGCCCTTGATCACTTTGAAAAATCTTGTGGAAGCTCTAGGGGCTAAAGTTAATATCTGATTGACTTTAAATTTATACGCAGTGTTTGAGGTCATGAGACGAAGAATCCTATTGATTTCCGATAATTACTGTCAGAGTTACGGTTTTTATTCATTCTATACTTAATAAAAACATGGTAGTGAACAGACTTTTTCTATTTTTCTCATTTTCTCTTTATGTAGTGACAGTCAATTATTTTTTTGAATTATCAGATATCCTCTCACAGTCTCACATAACTTTTGGTCTTCGAAGGAATTATTAGTGAGCAGAAATTTGCCCGTGTATCTGTTATCACTTGCCACTTCAGTCAGTTATATAGAAGGATAACTTGTGTATCCTTTTTGCATTCGTTACTTCCCTTTCTTGAAATCTTCATAACATATCTATCATAGCAATGATCTCTGTGTTAAAATATATTTGGAATGTGTTTAACCAGTTCTATCGCATTGTGATATTAACTGGCACCAATAGTATCCTTTAAGTTTTTGTGAAATGGGGCCCAGATTTTCTGTTAGGTTTTTTTTTGTTTTTGTTTTTTTATTTTTGCCTACTAATTATTTGAAAATAGTATTATTTATACTTGAATATTATGGTAATATATAAAACAGTAACAAAGAGTTTTGTTTAGTTGGGTTTTGTTTGAGTGTTTTTTGTTCTTGGTGTTCTAATTTTGGGCGTCATCTAATAACCTAAATTGCCTTACAATAAAATAAACGGGTGGGCCGTAGCTGTATTTCCCATACTATGAAAAGAAATTAAATGAGAATTGTTTTTGAGAATGGTGGGATGTTAAGATTATTCCAAATCTATCTATATGTCGCATTAGATCTAACAACGTAGTCCAAATCAGTGTTTGTTAATGTCGTGATTTAAGTTAGGAGAGGGTGACAGCTGTTCTAAGTTTTAATTGATATTAGTTAACTTAAAATTGTTCCTAAAATAGTTTTGTGAAACGCTACTGTTTTAAGTTAAGACAAAATTTTAACTTACAATATTATTTTAGTGGATTTTATCTAAAATGCTTATAAACGTTTTGTGAAACTCGTCTATCTTAAGTTAGGATGAGATTTTAGTTTAAGATGATTTTAAGGAGATTTAAGTTTTCGTGAAACAGGGCCCTGATTGGTCTTGATATTTTAGTAATGATTTCCTCACCACAGTGTGCTCTTAAAATGCTTTAGAAGCTCTATTTTATCGCCTGCTTTGGAATGTAATAAACATTTTATGCGTTGTGGATTATATATGTATTTATATCCATGGTAAGAATTGTCTTAGGCCTAAAAGTCAAATGAATGAACATAATTTTCATATAGCCATTATAAATATCTCTTAACTGACCCACGGCGACTTTTGTCGACACCTATAACGTTACCGTTAAGTACCCACGCGACTTTTGTTGACAAAACCAGTTAGCCGAATGCAACGTTTCTATCATAATGACAGTTACTTCCATTATGAACAGACCACTTTTTCTCGTTTGTTTACTTCCTGTTTGACATTTTGACAGTGAAAAATCTTTCTATTTCTTTTTGAAAAATTATAATTTAAAAGTGATATATCTAGACCTATAGGACGACGTTCTCCTAACGACGGATTACAATCCTTTTTGAATGACAGTGATTCAGATTTTATCGGTCGTGTAGAATTTTATAGTTTTACGTTAGAATGTGATAGGCTAGTAGGCCTACTGATAAGTGATAGAAGCAAGTAGCCCTACTTAAATAAGGTTACATTAAAAGAGATTCATGATGAATGATTTTTAGTTCACAACCGCTGAACAAAAAAAAAATAGAACTAGCCATTATATACATAAATTTTGCATGAAATGTCTAAATTAATTTTTGGTATAAAATTCATATTTATGAAAATAACATTAAAATGATTAAATTTAGATTATTTCATCCATTTACAATTACATGTAGGGTCTATCTACAGTTCGTTTTTTAATGTATATGTATATTTTAACACTATTGATTTGACGATTATGACGTTATGACGTCAAACCTCTGGGTCATTTAAGAGATATACTCTTCAAAAAAAGTAGGGGATATTCAGAAACAATACAAAACTGCGGAAATGCACTGCTGTTTTTATTAGAGGTCATCAGTGTTTGTTAATAGCAGGCCAATTGCCTACACATGAACATAAACAGTTCATATGGGCGGCTTATCTGACGGCTCCATTTCAATCGCAAAGAGATACACTGTCAAAAGTGAAAATGGACCTTTTTGATTTTTGTCTTAATAATGAGTAATTGAACCACCAATCCTTAGACATTCAGCAATTCGTCGTGGCATGCTCCTTATCAACCGTCTAATCACGATTTGGGGCAATCTGAACCACTCCTCTTGCAGTGCCCCGGCCAATTCTTGCAGTGTTGTCGGTTGAAGTTGGCGTCAACGAACACGTCTCCTGATAAAATTAAACTTAATACACTAAAGCAAAGATACGCTAAACAGTAAATCTTATTCAAGAACCGATAGGAAAGCAAACATGGATAGGATAAACCAGCAAGCGGCAGTTTTCATCAACCCTTCCTTGAAGTCTCAAATTTGACAATGAACCCCTCCCACGTTTATGGCGCTATTGTGTGTCGCACATGCAGCTCAGTGGTTCTGTTGGAGCCATAAGTTATTCATCTGTGAACATACTCCCAAAGCATGTCAAGTGTCCATGACTATTTATCATATTACAACCTACATAGGTATTTGCATTTCAATTTTTAGTCTGGTAGATCAAATCTAGTAAATTGAGTTGGGATGGTTTAAAATTGGAATTGAAGAATATTAGTTCAGGAAAATGATGGATTTATTGTCACAAATTGCAATAATTAAAATGGTTGGAGCTCTTTGATTTGAATTAAAAACAAAATTATGAATTTCATTGGATTTTATGTTTTTGTGCTGTGAGTTGACTGTCTTTGTTTAAATATTTGCATCTCTAGATAAAGCTAGTGTTGATATATAACTGATTATGTATTCCACTATTAACACATGAAGCTAGAAGTAGAAATTAAACTACAATTTGAAAACTAGCTGACTTGTGCTTAATCTTTTAAAATAAAGATTTTTAAAATCATAAATGCTTTTAGAGCTTTATGTTACAAATTCTATAGATATTTATTGATTGGGGGGTTGGATAGCCAAATGGTTAGTGCATACGTGCTGTATCGTAAGGGTTGTCATTGTGTCAACTGGCATGGTTTTCGATTCCCCGGTTGTACGTGACAAGGAGTAGGGTTGCAAGCGAATTATTGAAATAAAACATATGTTTATCTCGAAATGACCTAGTTTGTGTCGAGTGGATGTTAAACTCCCTATTGTGATTAGTATTCATACACTTTTCTCTACACACATGATGTTATCTGTTTGAATTCATTTGGGCAATACCTGTTAAAATTCAAAATCTGTGGATTGCAAACTTTGAATATAAATCTGTTGTGTGATGATTGATATTCTTTATGTTTCCCTATTTTTTAATACGCCAACATTTTCATGTGAGACACTTCCAATCAATACAAACAGGTAACACAAACCAATTACAGACAATTTGATGGGATCAATTTAGACTAAGTTAAAACGATACTACCTGGTGGTGCTTTAACGTCTGCTTCCACAGAAGTGATATCGCAGGGTTAAAACGATGCAATTGATATTCAGATAAACTGGAATACAATTTAAAAAAACGATGAGTTTTTGATATTGTATTCTATTAATTATATTGTATATCACATTTTCATGTGGACGTATATTGTTGTTGCCCCTGTCCATCTGTTCACATTTTGTTTGTAGACACTCAAGAGGTCACAATTTTTATCTGATTTTGACCAAACTTGAAATATAGTTTTATATTCAAAAAATCTTGGTTCCTTTCAATATTGGCATGTATCGGACCGAAAATTCATGGATTATGGCACTTGATTCTTTGAAAAATCATGTTTTTAACATGTGGATCCTCTAGAGGTCAGAATTTTTATCCAATTTTGATGAAACTTGAAATGGTTGTTTATATCCCAAACATTTCGGTTCCTGTCAATATTGGAATAAACATTCAATTCAACCAAATAAGCTTCCATGCATTTCTGAATGTCTGGATGTGAGCGAGGGTTGGGGAAGGAATTGTCATTTGAATCCGCAGTCAGTAAATAATGTTAGAATATAGGTTTATTTAATTATGTCCATTTGCAGCAGACGAAAGTCATTATGTATGCGTTGTATACATGCAAGTTGGAACCACCATAAGATTATGAAAAAATACTATTATATCAAATTATATTTTTAGACTAATAGAGTTAGATGAAGCTATAGAAGCTTTAGATGCTGCTATTGAATTTAAAAATGAAACCATCACAAGTCGTCAGACTGAGATTAGACAGTCACAAATAATCACACAACAGGTATGTTTTATAATATACACCTTTAAGTAAAATATGACAACATATGAAGATTCTTATGTTGAAAAAGTGGGGTAAAATGTGACAACATATGAAAATTCTTATGTTGAAAAAGTGGGGTAAAAGAAATATTGTTTAAGTAATAATAAATAAAGAATAATACTTAAGCCAGGCATACAATGGGCCTGCTTGATTTGTCCGCCGATAGGCGAGCCGGTTTCTGCTACGGCGTACGCCGGTCAGGTTACCGTAACTTCATGGATTATGCCCCTTGATTGTACGAAAAATCACTTTCTTAGCTTGTGGACACTCTAGCTGTCACAATTTTTATTAGATTTTGATGAAACTTGAAATGTATGTTTATAACCCGACGATCTCAATTTTTCGATATTTGCACATATCGGACAGTGACTTTGATTCTAACTGATGTAGAGTGATGAAACATACTGATAGTTTCACTACCAGTTACTTCAAAACATTCAAAACCTTGACTAAGTTTGATCGTGAACATTTTATGCACAGTTCGATTACACAATACTTTTGTAAAAGATAAATGTGTAATTAATCAATATGTGTCATCTGTTTATTTTGACATCAGCCTCACTGTTGGCGTGTATATTTTAGAGTGATGAAAGTGTAATGAACAGAATCAACTTGTTGAAAACATCTGAGATTAAATCTCTACTAGCTAGATATTTTGATAAAGTTATTACATTACGTGAAGAAGAACGTAGAATAACTTTGACTTGCAGTGAATATGAGGTAAGATCTGTTTATGTTGTTTTAGGTTTTGAACTTCATATTCTATAGCTGTATGTGTTAACCAACATTGCACTGGTAGATTTTATCTCCATGTTAGTAACATTCATAATATCGCAATAATCAATTCATTATTAAAGATGCATTATGCAAGAGCTAAATCGGCCTAATAATGTAATTGTCAGGGATATCACTTTGGTGAAGCGGACATTAAATAAAGCTATTTCACATACACATTGATTGTCTTTAAATCTTCCTCTTATCAAGTTCAAATTACATTTGAAAGGTTAAAGTGGATGAACAGGAGAGATTAATTCGTGAATTAGAAAGTGCTTTACAACGTACAACAATGGATATAGATAGACGATTAACTAAGCAACAGAGGGAGTATGAACAGAAGATACAACTATTAATGAATCAGTTAACAGATGGAGGAATGTCAAGTGGGGATGCAGCTGTTGATGTCAGGTAAAATTCTTTGAAATACTGAATATCTCAAGTACATTATATTTACTTCCATTTTAGTAAAGGAGCCACAGTAGCTCAGTGAGTAAGGCACTGGCTCACTAACCAGTGATTTTCCAGCATCCTGTGATTTTCCAGGATTCAGGGCGGATGGCCTATCATAGACAACATCTATAGTTATTGGGATGGGATGAAAAACCAAGGTCCGGTATGTGTACACATTGACGTGTACGTAAAAGAACCCTTGACAGTTGGAATTCAAAATAACAGTAGACTGTAGCGCCACTGGTTGGGAAAACATTCCCTCATAGCACACTGTATGGCATACACTGTCTTCATTACCCCAAGTCATTGCATTTTAACAGATATTTGTGTTGTGTTCCAACAGGATGGAATAAAGGTTAAAGTTAAAGAATATACACCCCCAAAACTACTTTATAGTAAACATTTTTCATCCAAAAATTATTCAAATCGATAAATTATAACTTAATTTTACACTGATATTTAGAGTTTGTATTGGTTTTTATTGATTTCACACAGAGCCATCATTATGTGTCTTAGACAAATAAAGCAATTCCATCTTTCTTATAATACAGCCAATTTTTATGAGTGGTTTTTTTTTCATACTAGGATGTACATAATAATAACAGTCTATTATGACTTTAAGGTACCATATATGTAAACAGTCTGGCTTGCCTTTATTAAGATCATTAACGTCTGTTCCATCTGTGTCACTAAATATGTCATCAGCAAAAACAGGTCATGGTTAAGTTATCTTAAATTGATGTCAATTGGTATTTTACAGAATGCAGCAATTAGAAAAAGAATTATATTATTATAAGAAGACTAGTCGAGATTTAAAGAAGAAAATAAGAGATTTGATATCTAGTGGTGTTTTAACGTCTCAAGGTAAAATACATATATTATATTCTTTTTCCTTTTTATTTCAAATGATGGTTAGAAGGAGACTGTCTTATTGTATTATATATTTCATTTGTGAACGGCCTAAATTGAAAAAGCTACCACTGGTCGTTACATCTTTTCAATATCTTCCCTTCGATTCTCAGTGAAAACGCAGATGTATTTGTAGTTCTTTCTTTCATGATTTTCAGCTTTTGAAGATATTAGTGTGATTAATTCTCTAGCAGAAACACCTAGAAATGTTACCAATAAGGAAATTCCGAGAAGGTGAGTTTCGTGTAGATACCATAAAAATAGTTTTAACTCAATGTCTAACCTAAATTAATGATTAAAATCAATGATTTAGGTTAGACATTGATTTATGGTTTTATCATTATGTTTAGTAGTAAAGGTGGAAAAATAAAATAAATTTATACTGAATTGACAAATAAATGGATGAGGACAGCATATGATGATTTTCTAAAAAGTATCAATCCTAATAGGCGTTCTGCTGTAGTGAAGACACGTCCCAACAAAAGGAAAAATTACAAATATAAAAGCAGGACACCCCTGCTACCGTCATACATTTCTGCACCTCATGTAGTACCATGGGTCGTCTGTCAGACGTGGAGAGCAGACACCGGGAAAACCGGTCGCCACATCCTGGGTATAACCCATGCATCGTCTCTTACTACATATTTTGGAACAGCCCTTGATTGTCTAGTATTGTCTCTGTACTTCTTTAACTGGTTTGGATGTATCTTTTAATGCCAATCCGACATCTCACATTAATGACAACTTCACGTTGTGATTGAATATACTGCATCTTATATAATATCAACAGGAACAACAAATACCATATTTTGGTTCTACATTTTATATTAAGCACTGCTACATATAGGTTACATGGTTACAAGCATTATAATAAAGTTATTCTCTCAAACCCCATCCAGCCAGACTCGGCAAGTCTGCTGATAGAGATTGCTACATCTTCTCCCTTCAAGAACTACACGGCTGTCTAGCAATCGCGCACATCTCAAGTATTTTTCTACGCTTGGATTTTAGCTACCCATTTTCTAATTGGTCAAATTTGACGTAATTTTAATCATGATCGGTCATGATTCATGCCTTGCATACCAACAGGGACTCATTTTTTAACAGACATATTCCATTCTTGACCATAAAGCTAGCATATGACAACTGTGTTTATTACCCTATAGTTGAAATTCATGTATCATATCAGCACAGACTTGCCTTCTGTTTTCCTCGCAATATTTCATAATCAATTTAATTTGCGTTTTAAATAAACTCATACCATAACTAATATACTGACAATGGAAAATAGAAATAAAACATATCTATATATATCAAATTATAAACCATGCACTTACAGTATATTCGGCTAATACAATTTTGCATAAATTATCAAATAGTATTACATTCAGTTGGTGTAGCTATGTGTATTGGAGTAGGTTATCCATTCTTGACTCTCAATATCGAAGTGTCCTATTAAAGATATTACATACTTTCTGGTTTTCAGTCGTCCATCCAGTAGTAGAGATCGAGATCCTGGTGATTATCGGAATTCTGCTAGATCAGTTCGTAACTCGAGCACTGATTTACCACAAATAACTACACCAGTTAAAATATCACGCAAAGATTTACGTCCAATGACTGACGAAGAAGTACAGATGAGAAAATCAAACATCAGTAAAAGTATTAATGGTTCCCATTTACATGGTGAGTACCTATATATTTTGATTTATACTATTGTTTAATTAAAAGCAGTTATGTCAAACAGAGAGGGATAATTGCTGTATAATATTTCCTTGTCTTTAGTTGTCCTTGAAGAAGACAAGTTATTCTTTTTAGCCAAGGACATCATTTGAAAATTGGCCATCCAGTCATTTTACTCCTGTTTGTTTTGATCACTGCAGATAAATGAGATAATTTGTGAGGATTGAAAAACTATCAAATTAAATACAGATTACCATGTTTTATTCTTTAAAGTAATTTACCCCATATAATAAACTCCTGTTGGTTTTGGGTTTGTTTTTTTTTAGCTGATATAACATCAATTTTTCTTTGACTTTCAGATTCCTTGGAAAGTCAGAATAATCCATGGTCTTAGCCCATATGATAATTCAAGTATCTTACATCCATCCATCCATTAGATAATATATATTCAGACATATTTAATGTGTGAAATATAACCATAGTATTTAAACCAGTATTGTTGTATGTATTGTTATTATTATGTTATTTATGCTTATAGATTGTAAATATTATATTGTTTCATCATTTTGTATCATAATTTAATCAATCATTAGACAATATAAGTTCATAATATTATATTTACACCTGGTTTCCAATAGTGTGTATCACGTTTTTTTTTTTTTTGCTGGTGGATTTCTCAGCGAGACATTTTCAAAACCAGCCAGAGATTGATGGGAAGAAAATGTCTCAAACAACACAGTTTTACACCCATGTGTAGATATGTAGCTTTGTGTGGAATTGCTTTAAGTAACATTTTAATCCACAATTAAATGATGTCCTAAACAGAATGCTTATGTGGTTATTTATATTTTTGGTCTCTGTCCATCTTTTCTGCCTTGTATCTAGACTAAAATATCCACATATTGGTGAAAACTGAGAAGTGGATATATACTAATTTGTAGAAAGGTTAATTTCTCATTTATTACAACATTGCTAACAATAAAGGCTATTTGTATATAATACTGTAAGTGTTAAATTAAAACACTTTATTTATCTAATGAATAAGAAAAAACAGAATTTAAATAACAAATCCTTTAGTCTAAAAATAATAATAATAGTATGTACACATGTTATAAGTGTCTGGCTATATTAATTACATTCAAACCTTGCCATATGTTACAACAACGAAAAAACAAATGCTTCTATCAAACATGTTGGAGTGACAAATAGACTTAATGATGATCATGATAAGTCTGCAATAAGCTTATAGACACCACCTTTTGTACCTAGACAAATCTATATCAACATCATTCTTCATATATTATTTTAAAGCATGGTATACTTGTACCACAATATTTACATTGTGGTACCGTACCTATTCATTCATGAACATACCCCATGTTCATTGTATTTGCATTTAGATCAAATTTCAGAAAAGTTTGATAATTACTGCCTGCTCTGTGTAAAAATAGATATTGTTTTTGAATACAAATTTTTCCTGTATTATCAATCCATCCTTGATTGTACTTTAATTTGTATGATTTTCTGTGTCTATCTTGATCGCATGGAATGCTTATGCATGTAGATTAAGATAATAATTATATGCAATTAATTATATGAGAATAATAATTTTAAACTTGACTTGTGAATTAGAAATCCACTTCTTGGTTATTTAATTTCGAAAAACAATTATCTACCTTAGAATTATATTGCTCTAACTTCATTTTTATATGCCCACAGTTTCATGTGGACGTATATTGTCATCGCCCCTGTCCGTCCGTCTGTCTGTCCACAATTTGATTGTGGACACTCTACAGGTCACAATTCTTATCCGATTTTATCGAAACTTGAAATATAGGTTTATCTCAAAAGGATCTTGATATTGGCATGTATCGGATCAAAACTTCATGGATTTTAGCCCCTGATTGTACGAAAAATCATATTTTTAGCTTGTGGACACTCTAAGAGGTTCCAATTTTTATCTGATTTAGATGATACCTGAAATGTATGTTTTATAACCCAAAGATCTCGGTTCTTTTTGACATTCGTGCATATTGGATCGCAACTTCCAGGATTATGGCCCCTGATTGTGCAAAAAATCACCGTTTTTTGCTGTGGTTTTCCTAGAGGTCAAAATTTTTATCTCATAAAAAAACGTTCAAATATATCACTGTTACACCACAATGATGACCAAAACTGCCATACAAAATGGCCACTCTATGTACACAAATAGTGTTAACGTAATGTAATTTCAAGTTTGTGAACCCTCTAGAGGTCACAATTTGGATCGGATTTTGATGTGTTTATGTCCCAAAGATCTCAGTTCCTTTCAATATTCACACATATCGGATTATGACCCCTGATTGTTCAAACTTGGTGTAGGTGTTTATTAGGTGAATGCCTTGATGAAGTTCGAAGATGAGTCTTTTCTGCTTAGGGTAAGCAGAGATAAGCAACTTGATTGGTTGATGCTTTGGGACACAATAACTTTGTTTCTAATTAAGTGAGAGAGAGATGAAACTTGGTGTATCGTTTTAGGACATCAATACCATGACTAAGTTGATAATGAGCATTTTCTGGTCAATGTAAGCAGAGTTGTCTTGTTTTATATTAAGGAAGTAACACGATATCGATATATGGGCATATGTGGTTCAAATGTCAATTTCAAATATCAATAAATTAGTGTTGATCTGTTTTACCGACTAGTAGATATGTATTGATTTACTTATTCCTGTGAAGTAATTAGGATCTAGTAAACTATACCTAGTAGTTTATTTTAACTAAAGATCTAGTATATATTATAGAATATTTTGTAATTCTATCACAATCCCTCCAACAACCTTTATTACAGAGTTTATTTATTGTTATGTTATTTGATTTATTTATGAATTATTGTAAATACAGGGTCTAATTTATTTGTGATTGTTTTGTATATTAGGCAAGATGTCTTGTGTATGAAACATATCAATTGTTTTACAATATTGGATATGAAAAAGTCCCAAAGACACAGTCATAGTGCCCCCTTCCTAATCCCTCCATTGGCATACATTTTATTACTTTGCATCATGATAAAACGGTGATCTGTACCAGTGAAAAGGAATCAAACAACTTAATCACATGGATCAATTTGGATTAGTTTATTTAAGACTCTTCATTTCACCATTCATTGTTAATCACATTTATGTAGGCCCACAATAGCACATTATAGGCTGCTGTTAATAATTAAGAGATATTAAATATCAAACATATATTATTCATTGGTTAATACAGTAATAATATGTGAATTCATATACTCTTTTAGAGGTAAGTAATACATTTAAAATTTTTTCAGCTTTTCTCTGATTTCTCAATATATTTCCGTCCTTCAGTAATATTATTATCTTGTTATTTGTTACAGTAATATTTTGTGATAAAGCCATTTGACCTATTGTACATGAAAACTACTTATGTCCTCTATTAACATTCCATTCTTCAAATATGTTCAGTCTTTTTATTCCAAGAATTCTTGTTTTGATTTATGTAAAGGTACATGTAGTTTTATTACAACTAACGCTTTGTAGGGAACTTATATTATAGTCCCAGAGAAAGGAAAAAGATCAGTCTAGCAAGTTTGGTTCATTTGGGCATTTTTTGAAGAAGGTGAACAATTATCTATGCAAATGTTTTGACAAGCTCCTGTATAGTTGTTATATATTTGTTCATCTAGTTCAGCCTTCATATTGTAAGAACATCAAAAATGCCTCAGATTGCAATACAAAATAGTCACTGAGTTATTTTCCAGTCTGTATAACAACTTGGAATTTGAAATGATTATGATTTAAGATAATTCTTCATTATTATATTTTGTTTAAAATGAACTGTCAATAGCTTGATTTTGATTTCTGTATCAAGTTCTTGACTATTGCATGGACTTGTTTTTATTAGTATGATTATTATCTTTTATTCATATACTGTGTTCTTATATCATAGGTTTTTCAAGAATTGCTGAGTTCATAATATTGTCTGATCATAATAAAACATAATAAATATCAATTAGTTTGATTTATTATATGAATTAAAATAAACGTGGAATTAAGTAGGTACAGAACTCATTTTGGCAAAAACAGTAGCTAATAAATCCCTGTGACCCAACACTCCACTGTAACACCCAATGAGGATGTAACCAGACAATAAGAAAGTGTGCATCCAAAATAGAACCCCTTTGGAGGAGACCTAGTTTTTTCGACTTGAATGGGAAATATTACATTTAGAGTTTGCTAAGATGAACAGTTCTGACAAGTTATGAAAATAAATCTGTCTTAGACTCATATATTTCATTGAAGATCACAAGGGCCGTAATTCTTTGTGTGACTCAGATTTTCATGAGGTTCTCCATAGTCAGACAATCCAGGAAATTAAAAAAAAATCCACACACTGACGAGCGTTTACAAAGTTTTGCTGACGGCAAAAAATCGTTGATTTACGCTGAATTTCAATAAGGTTCATTCATAGGATTAGCCAATCATCCTAGCAAATTTTTGGGGAAAAGTCTCGGCATTAGACTTAGTATTATAATTTAATATAATAATATAGAGGATATCTAAAAATATGTACCTTCAGACAGGTAATGTTATTGGACTTCATAAAGACATGACCTAGCAGGAGAGTATAACTGACAAATAGACAATTGATTCAGTGTGCTTGAAATTTCCAAAACAAACCAGTCACCAACAATTGATCAATGGGAAATTAGGCTGGACAGTAATACGTTTACGCATGGACCTTATAATACAAGGTTCATAGTTTACGTATTGTCTCCAACCCATTTCCGTAGACCACTGACAATAAGCTCGTGTGTCAGAACCGGGATAATACGGCTGTAATACTGATCCGATAATAATCTAACATATCAACACAAATAAGTTATATTTAATCTATTAATACCGAAATAAATATGTGTGATATAGAATATCGTGGTCATTTCATGGTCAACATGATTGGTTAGAGAACCGGTTTGTGAAATATTACGTCTAGAAGCCGTTTTATAGGTCTCATTCATCTGGCGGACCATCAGTTGTTAATAACGGTGTCAACCCTATTCTCTTGATATTTCTAGGAATTGCGGAATAATCCTTCACAAAACTTGGACTTAGTTCCAAATATCCGTCACCGGGCTTATCCAAATGAACTAATCCCTTTTCCAAACTCTTAAATCGGGGATCCCGCACCGATTTTTCATGAAGTACTTTGTCTTCTTCAATTTGAAAAGTGTTAAACATATGCGTTATTCCATTCACTGTTTGACTAAAGCCCACTTTCCTGTTTCGCGACAATTGTGGCAGCTGAACCTCGTCGTGCATCTGATGCTTTCTGATGTGCTGAATATTAGTCTCCGTTCCATTCACCAGTGGAGGCAATGCGACGTCTTTGTGAATACCATGCGACGACGATTCTAACATATTTCTCTGCTTCTTTAGTCTTCGATATATAAATGATTTTCGGTGCATGTCCAATAAGCGACCCGACCTGTTTTTCTCTATTCGAATATTTTTTAGTTTCATATATAACATCTGTTGTTGAGTAACATTATCGTAGAGCAGGACACGAGATACATTTGTTTTGGGCAAGAGTTGAACTTTCTTTTTTCCATAGTTTGGGACGATGCGTGGTGGATGTTGCATGTACCTCAAACTAAATTGTTTGATCTTTGATTCTGCTTTGGATGGTTCACCATCTCCTATGTTGCTGTTTAATTCCTTGTCTGTAATCATATTGATTTTCGACTATCTCTGAAATATACGTCATAAAATCGTGCAATTATTATTAGGACATAGATAATTTAGTTTCGCCTCAAACCTAACTCCCCTTAGTTTAATAATCTTCACTAGAGACTAGCTAATCTAATAACATGCGGTGTTCAACAAGGAGTTGGGTCGCCTGACCAACCTCGTGGGTTTTCTCCGGGTCCTCCGGTTTCCTTCCACTGCAAAAGACCCTTTTACACAGGCGAAATGGGGGAGGGGGCGAATAGTTAGCACGTGCGCGTTGTATCATAAGGTCTGCCATTGAATCAACTGGCGTGGTTTCGATTCATTCGCCAGTTGTACGTGACAAGAGTAGGGTGGCATGTCCAACCTCTATGGATTTCTTCGAGTCCCCAGGTTTCCTCCCACTGCTAAAGACCCCTACACAAGCGAATTATTTAAATAAAATTGAACCATATGTTAATTCCAAAATGACCTGTTTTGTGTCGAGTGGACGTTAAACTCCCTCTCTCTCTCTCTCTCTCTCTCGTCCTGAAATGACCTAGTTTGTGTTGCTATCCCGAATCCGCCCCATTACCCATGCTGTACCTGCTCTTCTGCTTTTTATTTGTACAAAAAGGCCCGAAATTCAAATGAACTATGTTATCATTTATAAACATTTACCCAGTTTTTACTTCTACGCTGACGGTTTTCATATTGATTATTTTAAAGATACATTATGGGAGATTAGATAAAGAGCTAGCAGTTCTCACTATAATGATTACAAACTAGATAATGTAAAGGGAATTTGCTGAAAATTTCTGACAAATTCATCCACTCTGAACCGAGATTTTATCGATTGAATTTTCGGTCTAGCCTCGAACATCATTACTAAAATCGGTAGGCCTACGATAAAAAAAAATATAGTCTCGATTATCCACTTCATGATTAAATCATGAATGAAAGTTGAGCTGAAAATCGGAACCTAATCCAATAAATATCGCAGGCTAGCGATGTCATCGAGAGTTGAGCATGGTCTGGATAAGTTAGATAACATTTCAGGCCTAAAGAAATACCTGCAATAGGCAGATTTAGCTCTTGCATAATGTATGTTTAATACTGAATAAGATCACGTTATACTGAATTAGATTCAAGCACGGATCAGAAAATTTTCGACGGATGTTGATATGGGCATATTTCCTGTCTGGTCGCAGTTTAAGATATTTTTTAATTTCCTCCACTCCCTTCCCGACCATCAAACACTTGCCAACAAAGAGCCATTTGCCCTTCTAAATGGCGTACTATTTGTAATAAATAACTTGTTTATTTTTTATTTGGTTACTTTTTTAACAAATGGGCCCACCACACCACAATACACCTAACAATATTTCCGACAATAGTTTGTTAGCCGTGAATGACATATTGAACTTTAATAAACATAACTTGAACCTGATAAAAATACCAACGCCCTTTTATAAGGATCGGTAAAAATATAATCCTTGCCGTTTCTTTGAATAAAGTGCAATTTGTATTTTGTTCCCTTTTGACAATGCGTTGGTATAGAAAACATAACTTTAAAATTCGATTAATCATACAATGCATTCATGATAAAGGTGTAAATTTATAAGTCTTTCCATACAAAAAAATATAAAAAAGTTATTTAACACTACTTTCAAAGAGATAACATGTGATTGATCTATCTTTAAAGACGGTCATTAACGCGTGTTTTTTCTTATTATGACATATAGGATGAATAGAAATAAATTTAACGTTCACCTTTTTTACATAAATAAAGGACCTTAATTGTTAGTCGGTCCGTTTATAAAGGGAAAGCTCATTGGGTCATAAAGTAGAAACTATAATTGATATTTCAGAACGTTTAGATCGCGGGGTTAGCGCATTAATTACACCTCCGTTACATTTAATTCATAAAGCACGTTAGCGGACTCTTAAGGAATACTTCTTAATTAAAAAATTCGATACGATTTGACGTTCAAAGATTCGTAATGTCTTTAATTAAACTGGTGATTGAACGTTAAAGTTCGGTACATAGAGCATTTAAATTATAACTAATAACTCTACAGTACCAAAAACCTTACCCACAAAAAAACAAACCCAAAACGTATACTACCAGAAAAAAAACCCACCCAAATCCTTCAAGATTTCTATAAAACACCACTATGTGTGTACAAGTACCGATAATGTTTGACACTGATTGAGCAATATGAAAATCGCATTAAAATCATGTGGGTTTTTTTTTTCATTTAAGAGCGGACGCAATAATACTAAACCCATGGGGAAAATAGAGGATTCGTTATAAAACCCAACCAATAATCCTCCCGATTATAATTACTTAATAACTCTGTCATATTCAATTGACAGTCAAAACCTAAAAGAAAACCCAACAAAACAACGAGACTGATATTTGCCATTGAACAAAATCGAAGCAATTATTACCCTTTTTAGTGTAATTTGTTCATTTTCTACTTTGAATAGACTTTTAATATAATTTTCAAACAACAAAAGTTTTTCTACAGTAAACATCCATGTCTACTGCAGAAAGAAACACAATAATGTTAAAATTGTAACGGACACCAAACCCACCAAATATTTATAAATAAATTTTATGAAATTATATACTTACATTTTAATTTCAATTAATATTTTCCAGTTTAAAGAAAATAAATTTTTCTGTCACTTCATGTAGGTCCAATCTTATTCAATGTTTACAAGCACTCAAACAACGTATGGGGTTTGTCAATAAACTTCTCAAGTGTGTATGAAAAGCTTTGATTACATGGCATATCTCACTTTTACTTACACAGTTCGCGCTATATTATATGACCGCTTTAACAACACCACGCCAAAAGAATACAATATGAAAAAACAGCTGGTGAAGACGTACAAAACCATGCACACAATGAATTAAATCAGCTACATATATCATTTTTTTAAACAAAAATTAAATGCAGTTATATTTTTTACGAGGAGAATACAGTCGTTTTATTTCCAACGGTAGAAATTATCTGGAATACTCTTGTTTGATAAAATAAATATTCGCATACTTTAACAAGGCAATAAGTTTTTCTTCTATACTATAAAATATAAATCTTCAATAAATAGACCTAATATCAAGTTTCTTCTCTCACGAGTGTCAATTGACGATGTTAAAGTCTTATTTGTTTTGTTAAGAACGTGGTTGTTGTAAAGACATTACGTCGAGTAGTGACAAGGCGGCTATTTATCCATGTTTAATAACCCATACGTCTTTATAAAGCCAAATGAATTGTGGCTGCCCGTTCA